GAATATTGTGACCAAGTTTAAAACTTTCTTTTGATGATACAGAGACGATACCTCAGCACCTGAGACTCTATAAGAAGAATCATCCAAAAATTGGGATCCAACAGATTGTGGGCATACTTAGGCCTCAAAGGGAGAAAGAGAAAGAAACCAATTGGCAACTTAGCTATTTGTGCAGTAATTATCAGTAAGCATGTTTATTTATAGAATACAAAGCAAAATTTTATGGTCAATCATTACAAACTTGTTTATGTTTCATTTATTACTGTGTGATCAAGTTATTCAGTAATTATTTTTATTATTATTTTAATAATCCAGAGGCATATAGGAAAAACAACCCCAAGGTAACCGTGTTGGTGGTAGAAGAGGCCATCAGTGAGGCTTTAAAGTATGCCCCCAAAATGCAGGGTGGCCCAAAGTACAAGGTATGTGTATCAACTAAGGTTAAGAATGAAATTAAGGCCATGTGATAAGGATATTATTAAAAAATTGTGTACATTTTGTATACGAAGCATATACAATGTATACAATGCTATAAGGGCCATTAAGGAGCCACAGTACCTTAATTTATAAATACCTCAATGAAGGAAGAGGTGAGACAGTAATGGGAAATATGTTTTATCAAATTCCATCAAATGCATATTGTATACTTAAAAAAGAATAGATAATAGTTTTGGAAGAGGTTATTTGATTACCCCTTTCACTCACTTGAAATAAATATATCTTTGGTAGGTGCCCTCACAGAACATTTATATACTGGTATATTTGATGTTACTGATGTTGCTGCTAAGACTGCATTATTACCTTTAAAGGAAGAGTATGTATCTATCCCATTGCTTTAGTTTGTGAAAATTAAATTATTGAGATCTTGCACACGTGTTTTGTCATACAGAAGGAATATTTGTACAAATTCAGTTTTTTTTTTTACATGATGATTTGTTTCTCACCAGAAAATAATTTTGTGTGTGTGTGTGTGTAAATGATATAAAAATGATCTAAATGAAAATGTTATGCAATGAAGTATGAAGCTAAAGGGAAGTACCTTCACTTC